GACATTTTGTTACGCACTAAACAAACCCACACCTATACATATAACCGCTTCATCCAAAATCATTTTGATTTACACACCCCATCAAGACAACCACACCATCGTTTTCAGTTTCTTAATTCAAAGTACACTTCGCCGTTTTTTCTAAATTCTCACATATTGCATCAAAGATACTAACCTCCACGGCATCCTCCGCAATTATGACCCAATATCACAAATGTATATATTTTGTCCCATCACGAAGACCTTTAACGCAGAAGAATCCAGACCCTTCCTTATCCCACATGAATTTATCCAATTTATAGAAATCCCTATATTAGAATTCATCCATAATACTAAATACAATCACAAAATATATAATCTAATCCAAAACACACCTTATGAGTTTGCAGTTGGCACCGAAGAACTAAAAACTATTAAAGCACTTCAATTGCTTTGGCCACTGCTTCAAACTAAAAACATCATTCGCATACTAGCAAAATTACTAACAAATTCTGATATGATACACGACATCTTCCCCCACGGTTTTTTCCCCGACGACTAACAGGTAAGTATAAATTGTACATATTCTTTACTAATAAATCTGAAAATCATACTAACCTTTCTTTATTCATGTCTCATTTAGATTTTTAGTCTTCATCCCACGATCATCTGCAAAAAACAGAAAAGAAAAATGAAAAATAAAAAACTTGTTTAAAATCTTCTAAACTCTATTAATATTTTGCAAATAATATAATAAAATTCATACCAATGTAGTATATTAATTTATAAATTGTTTCCCCAAAAGCAGTAAACTTAATAATGATGAAAATTTGTAACTTAAATTTTTCCCCAAAACTAGCAGTAAAATTGAAATTCTATGTAGTAAATTAATAAAATGAAAATGCAGTACTAACCTTTTGATATTTTCATTCACTCGCACAAGAATTCTATCCAAACTCGCACAGCTCGCCCACGAAGAATTGTTTAAATAATGAATTTCAGTTTCAAGTTTTCACACTCAACAATTCTAACACACGATAACAAGTTTCAAACTTTCCTTTAACCCGGTTGGAAAGGAATTATATACTAAACCAAACTAACCAACGCAGCTTACTAAACACCTCAAATCATAAAATAACAGCATGACTAAGAAAAGGAAACCAACGGTACCCAAACCAGATTAACCCAGTTCAAAACTGGATAACTTATTCTTTTGAAGACTATTATAAAGTCTAAGAAAGAAATAATAGAACACAAAAAAGTCGAAAGACAAACCCATAACAAAAACAATTTGATTTTTGAAAAAAGACACAACAACGGAACATAAGAAAGACCACCATAAACATAACATAAAACGTTATCACATAACAGGACCTCTCACAAAAACCGCACGAAATCATACTCCCACTTCTGGCCTAACCCACCAGAGAGGACGCCCTGAGCATGCTCTATAGCCAGCCTAACCCACCGCGCTACATCCACGCTTTGTGACCACACTTCTAGTTTTAATAAGAGGTACTCAAGTATGAGTAACTCTTCAAAATAACCAAACTAAAACAAAATGCTTTTGTGAAAACAACTAACTAAAATCATAATAAAAAAACTAGACTAATCAAAATTTTATAAAATGTAAATTATACCTTGCAGTATATAGATCAGCATACAACAACAAAGACGAACATCCAAAGACAAAATGACCCCACTACACACGAAAAAGAATGGTCAACCACAACCAATATGCCGTCCACAATCACAACTCAAAGGATTTAGAGTACGACTTGACTTCGCAGAAAAGGACTTCATTGAACTAGACCAATGACCACCTCGATGTTCAAGTATATGTACAGATCCGAGTAACAAGGCATCCCCTCCACGCACAATCTCCACGCCATTCCCAGACGAGGTCGAACACAAACAAGTTCTCTACATAATACAGAAGAACCCGTCATAGCAAACCATTCTGAAATCAGACTGATTTCGTTGGGAAACGCAGTCGTTGTCACAAGAAGACACAACGATTGATATCCCTCATTCCAGCGTCCTGGAATTTCTCTAACAAAAGAAACCGGATAAGAATATGATGTTCGCAAAATACCAACGTCCATCATCCATCCTTTGAATTGCAGAAAGACAATTCTAAAAAACTCCGTAAAACCCGGATGGGTGGAACCTGATCTAAACTATATTTTATGATTGGATAAATTATATATTTTACCACTGTAAAGTATTTAATATTAACCAACCATGATCCATCTAACTAACAAACCACTTATTTGTAAGTGCTGAAATTACTTGTAATTTCAGCACCAGAGAGATTTGAATTTAACTTAGAAATTAGTTGCCTCTCCAAGAGAACTTCAGCAGCCGCAACAAACCAGTATACCCTAGATCTATTGAGCCTAGCAGAGACTAGTTAAACACCCTGAGACTAGTAAGTATAAGAGTAAGATTAGGATCGGTATTAGACTAAGAAGTTGCACGAATCTATCCGGCCGAAAATAAGATAGCGTGACGAGCAGACGGTGTACCCTATCCAAAATTACTCTATGAGTTAACCACATCGGTCCTAACTCACTACGGCTCAATGATTTTACTCTGTTTTTGCTCTAAATTTTGGAGAAGACCATGGAATATTTGCGCTCTGGGCGGAATGTTTCATTTTTTCTAACAAATTTATTGTCAAAAGCTCAAAATTAGAAAAGTTATCATGCGACAATTTAGTTTAAGTGATGGGGTTAAATTCAAGACTAGTTTGACTACAATTCCGGGTTGACCTACGTACAAGAAAAACGCTTGTCAAATAATTCCATTTAAATGATGCTTATCATACAATTCCATACATAGAGTTATTGGGAAAAGTTGTATCCCACAATTTCTGTTTGTGGAAATTAATTGATAAACGTTTTTCATGACTACAAAATTTTCTGTAGAAATTACGGTATAAATATAAGCAATTATAAAAATTTTAGAAAAATTCTTTGTTCGGACTCAAACAAAGATTATCCGAAATTTTTTAATGCGAAATTGTTAATTTTGTTTTTTAACGCAGCCAGACTCATTTTTAAAAGAGAGTGATAACAAATAAAACGATTTTTTGTGTTTTTATATACTGAAAGTTGTCAAAAAACCGGTTCATGTTTTTCAACCACTAAGTTTTTTGCTAAGTAGAAATTTGTTAAATCCTTATACAAAAAAATACATTCTTTTCTTATAATTTTGTGTGATAGTGAAATTCAACACATTAAACTACATGGCGAATCGTCGGAATTAGTTCATCTGTGCTATTCATGCCACTTAACCTATGAATTTTCTGCAAGACAAAGATTTGGAGCAAACCTTGATTGTACTTTTATGGGAAAATGCTTGTCATACTATTTTCTTATATAGAAAAGAGCTTGTTGAAAAGTTTTTTTAGATAACATTCTGTGCGTACGAAAATGTATGGGATTGTCTATAAGCAATTTTGGTCAAGCTGGATATTATAATTGTTCTATAGCTTTGGAGCAAACCTCGATTGTACTTTTATGGGAAAATGCTTGTCAGACAATTTTCTTATATAGAAAAAAAGCTTGTTGAAAAGTTTTATATAACTTTCTGTGCGTACGAAATTGTATGGGATTGCCTATAAGCAATTTTGGTCAAACCGGATAATATAGTTGTCCTATACAAGCGTGAGCGGTAAATAAAATAAAAGGATTTTATACCAGGCCAAAGCCCTGCATATTTCGACTGTTCCTTAACTAGCCTCGAATAGATAGCCTCCATTGACTTTTTCGAATAGTCTGATGTTTTTCCACATTAATAACATTCCGCGTGCTGAAACTATCAAAGTAGTATTCTAGAAAGGATGTCATCATGCCATTCGTATTTTAGTTTTGTGCAAGCTTACTCGCTTTACAATCAAAAGAGATCCGGATCGATACCCCATACGCTGTCATTTTTTGTAAAATCAATCCGGATTTTAATGACACTCCATATATTCATCTTCCAACTTGAATCGAAGCACGCATTTGCTCTTGTTAATATGTAACCAGGCGCAACATATAATCTTTTGTACTTATCCATTGCGTGTCAGTGGTTGATTTTTTAAACCAAATTTTTTTTTTCATAGGCGTTAAAATGCAGTCAGAACATTCATGACCTTCACATTCATGGCATTCCAGATAAGCCCGCATTCAAAAAAATTGTTTGGGATCAATTTAAATTGATTTAACCGAAGTTAAATAGATTTTAAATGGATTTTAAATTGTTTGGATCAATCTTTTTTGAAAGTTTTAAATCTGTTTAAGTGTCTAAGAAATCGATTTTAATCGATTTGCATGGATTTTCCGACCTAAAGTATTATATTCTCGATTTTTTCAAAAACATAAAAAACACACGTGCCAAATGTTATGAACTCAAAAAAATAATCCACATAAAACATATTTTAAGCTTGAAAATGTGCAAGGAAATCATTGTAAGTCAGATTATGGGCAAAATCTTATGTAACAAACAAGAAAAAGGTCAGAATAATTTAAATTTTGATCTCAATAAGATCACAAAAAATCATGAATGTAAAACAGATTTTGAGCAAAAACTTATGAAACGAGTCAAGAAAAGGTTCATTAAAGATCAATTTTTGAACTCAAATTATGCGAGGAAACAAAATAACTTTGTCGATATTTTGGTCTTTTTATTTGGTCTTTTTCATGTTAAACACGCTATTGGTGTAAAATGAAAAATAATTAGCAATTAATAAATGCAATAAAATTTCAAAACTTAAGAAACTTGAATAAAAAAATGGATTTGAATCGATTTAAAAACGATTTGGAACAATTGTTTTAGCTGAGATTTTAGATCAGTTTAAACCAATTCCAAATCAATCTTTATCTTTTTTATTTAATCTTCGTACTTTTTTCATACTAAAATCAATCATAGTCCATTTTTGTCAGTGCGGGAGCTTTTATCGTCAAAGAAAACAGCGAGTACTTGAGAAACTATGTTTTTGTTGATTTAATTATGAGTTTTTTTGGTGTTGGCAGCGGTCATGTCCGTGTTTCTGTACGCCAGAATAGAACTGTCTCTCTACCGGAACTCTTCGGAGAGCTCAGACGATGCAGTGATGTGCTTACTAAGGTTGTGCTCGTCTGTCATGATCACTGCGCCCAACATCACCTTCAGGAAAGAGCTGAAGAAGATGATGGAGCGAGAACATTCTAGACTAATCCTGCTTTCAGTTAACCCCAAGAAGTACATCAAAGTGTGCGCCTGTTTCCTCCTGTTCGAAATTGTTTTTGCAGGTGGATGTTCTTATTACGTAAGCTCTTTTTACTGTACAGTAGTTTAATGGAGTATTGATTGTCTAAAGTCTATCTAGTTTAAAGTTTATCTTTCAAGGTTATTGAAAGATTGATGGACTTTGGCAGTTTATTTTTTTCATGACCTGCCTTTTGTTCAAGATTGAACTAACTGTTCAAGATTGAACTAACTGGCCTTTTGATTGAACTAACTGGCTCTTTTTCCGATCACCCCCGCCCCCCACCTCACACGACCTTCAATATATTAGTGTAACCAGTGGTTTTACGAGGTTGAGTATCAAGACAAATATGTTTGTCGTGACCTTATTAGTTAGCAGGTGGGGGAAAAGGAAAAAAGAGCCAACTAATTTTACGAGCTATTCGGCTCTTCGCAAAGAATGTAAGTTAGGGGAGTCTGCTTCAACTTAGAATTCGCTGATTATTCAAATCAATGGGGGCCAAGATCGTTCAAATAATGGCTTACAAATTATTTGAGGTGGCTCTTTTATAATCTCCTGTAAAAATTGCTAGCACCGCGTAAATTTCTTGCTCTTTTCGCTGTTACTCTCACTTCTTCTTAAAATTAATCGAACACGCTTGGACAAAAAGAGCCGGCAAAGTTATATTCAATCAACACACGTAACACGTAAAGCAAATCTGATTAATGGAATTGTCAGGTAATGACAAAATAATTGGTTAGAGCTCGTTATAGGGAATTAACTCTGGCTAAATAATATAACGATCTGACAGTTCAATTTAAGATGGGTTCTCCTAACTGGGTTGTCTCTTAAGCAACCCGCAAATTCAATCTCTAAAATTAACCGTTTTCTCAAACTTCTAGAATAGGTTCCCACTTCGATCCGTACCTAGATTAACAGTCAGGCTACACAATCACTTAGTGTTAATCTCTCAAAACTAACGATCGGATCTACCAACTTCTCTTGGTTTTGGTTATTTTTTTCTCTTCTAAAAGCTGCGTACCAATCCCACCACAGGTATGTCTATTTGTACACCGGTATAATTGAATATCCTCCCTCCCATGTAAGTCCCGACATTCGCTGCTGTGCATTCCACGTTCGTCCTGTAAAGTATAAGTTCCCTTAGGTACACCAGTTCTAAATGCTAATCTCCCAGTGGCTATTTAGATCGCTTCAAGTAAAAATTACGTCCAACTGAACCTCAGCTACAGTTCGCGTTTAACTGGCAGTAATCCCAAGGTTTTTTATTTGGTTTATCCCACACATGTTCCAAGGTTCAATTAAGGATCACCCCGGGGTCACCAGAGGTCAAGCAAAGGCCCATGAGTTCAGAGCCGGGTGGGGGTCCTACCTGCCAAGTTCCATCCATACACGATTATCACTCTCCGATTTATCTTTTTCCAATTTGTCACCTTTTCCCAGAATTGGCTATTAACATCGGAAGGAGCCAACGGAGAGGGTTTGTTTGCGGGACGTCTTTTTCCGGGACTTGAGTCTACTACACATTAACGCCATAAAATCAATATGCCCTCGCTCAATATTTTTCTTAATTGCCTATTTCTGGTCCCAGGGGTATTTTTCCCCAGTGCTAATAACTTTCGGTCGGACCGTAAGATTAGGTCCAAACTCAAACGCAATGCTTGTCTTACCACTACCTATCAACCCTCCTAGTTTCCGCTTCCTAGGGTCACCAGGGGTCAAAAAATAGCTTCCGGAAGTCAAAGGGGGTTTATTTGCACAGGCCAGAAAACCGGAAGTAGGGGTCTGAAGGGTCTGGGGTCTTAAGCTTCCCTCATCTAGGGCTTCCATATACTAAGTTTTGGGGTCATTCATTGCTAGATACCGAGTCCCAGCAGGGTGATTTGCTCTTCCAGGAACCGTTATCACTCGGACCCAGGTAGTCCCCGGATCCAGGGTTTTGAATGCCCGGGTCAAATCATCTCTAGTATCCTTCCTGTGAATTTCGCAATGATCCGACCAGTGGTTCTTAATCCGAGGGGGGGGGGGGTAGCACATTCTCTCCCCCATTCAGTTTTCCTCCAAAGACAGGACTAATTCCTCAGAGCTTGGACTATTTTGAGCTTAGTGCTTTATTTACTTTTCTATTTGCCGAGTTGGCTAACCAATCTCACTAGCATACTCTCGTTATGTGTACTTTAACAACACTATAACTCTTACTGTAACAAAGAGGTTTGAGTTACCCCCTTTGTTTTGCGGCTTAGTAGGTAAACGGCCTAGATTAAGTGTGTTGTGAGCGAATTGTTTTTTTTTCAATTCTACAAAGAACCTTTCCTGTGAAAATGGGGAGGAACATTGTATTCAGCTGTGTTTTAGTTTTTCTTTTTTTTGGTTTTCCACAAATCATCGGACTGGTTTGAGTGATACATCAAATAAAAGCCCTTGCAGTCGTGATGCGACCAACTTTTAACTTTTTTGTGGTCGGAACATTGTTTGCTACATGCACAGCAACCAGCTATCCTTGTTGATAATTTGCATGCGTTTGGTCAATTTATTTATTGGGCTATATTTTTGTTTGGGACGTTGCACACACCCGCGCAAGCAACGAGCGCGTATCACAAACGTGAACAGGGGCGGATCTAGGTTTTTCTAGAGGGTGGGGGCGGATTAAAAAAAAATTCAAGCATTTTGTCGACCTTCTTTTGTCAACTAAATAGATTTTCCGAGCTCTCCTAAAGCACTGAGAAGACCCTGTTTTGGCCAAATTTTCTGCGCCGCGGGCGTTTCTAGGCAGTTTTGGAAACTTTGACCAAAAAATCGACGCGCGCTCCCCTTCAGAATAAGTATATATTAGCGCCAAAGGCGCCTTTAGAACATTTTTAGGGTCCGTCACCAAATAAGGATATCTCAAAATAGCACACAGGGGGGACCCTTTGGCTCGGCAGGGGGTCGAATCCCAGAGAAGTGTTAGCATGAATGCGCGAGTGTTAGCATCTATGGCTATAGATGATAGCGTGTGTGTGAGTTTGTGTTGATGCAGTGGGCGGAGTCATATTGGCCCGAGGTGGAGGCGGCGAACAGCACTACAGTAAAGAGCAGTGGGAAGTACGCCCTCATGGTTGTACACCCCTTGAACATCATCGTCACTAACATGTGGAACTTCGCCATAGCCATCATGTGCATGATGGTATGTGGACACCTCATAGACGGTATATCACATTGATGCATAATATCAGTCAGACCATTACATAACAATCACTCAATATACAGGGCATGGCAAATGAAAGGTCATTTATTATTTGACAGCGTTGTCCAAGTTAGCGGATGATTTGAGGGATGATAAAGTTTTGTGTGAGCTGAACTTTGCAACGACAGAGAAAGGGAGGAGATTTGCGCTGCAGAAGTACCCTTTGCTGGCCGAGGAGACAAAACACTTCACTCAAGGTTAGACAGAGAGCAAGAACTTTGAGTTGGAAAAGATGTAAAGTATGAAAAACAAATCTGTTCAGAATTGTCGATTTTTTCACCACGCCAAACTTCATTGCATCCATTCATTGCCAACGTTAAATAGACTTTTCAAAATTGAATTTGAAAGGGGGTAACGGAAAAAGAGCCGAAAAGATAAGAGCAATCGAAAGTTTCACTGAATCCATGAGTTTCAGAGGACATCATGCGGCTGAGACATCAAATAATGACGCCGGAGAAAATACTCACCCGATATTATGATCTACAGGTCGGAAAAAACTCAAACAATTTTTCTTTTCGTATTATCAGTTTGATAAAATGCTATTTTTTTGCAGCTAATTCTACTTATGTACAGATAAAATGCTAAGATAAAATGTGAATTAATCTCAAAGTTCAAACATTAAAAAGTGAGCGAGTATTCTCTCCGCCGGAGAGAACGAATACATCAAATTCATAACGTCAATACCGGTTATAAAAAATTACAAATATATTAAAATCATAAATGCTGCAATTCACAACTTTCCCCTTGATAGGAAAAAAAACAAATACGAAGTAAAAGGTAGCTGACCCTTTTCTCCACCCAGAGGAAGCAGAAGAAATTTTGACAAACTACAATAAATAAGCACTGGGTTATGCACTATGAAAACATGACATAACAAACGTTTGCTAAATAAGCAGCTAAACTAAGTTAATAAATGAATTCTCAGAGTGAAACCGATGGAAAACTTAGCACGTAAGTGTTACATTAATAGTAACTGAAAAAACTAAAGATAGAAGAGGGAGAGTAAAAACTTTTTATTAGCACTGCAGGTGTGTACTGAGTGATCGAAAAGAGAAAAAAGTTAACCAACTTAAGGCAAAGTGAACAAAAGCTTACTGAATTAGTTTTTCTCATCTTCCATGAAATTTCCAATTCCGCGTTAAAGAATTCACTTTCCAAATTTCATTGAAGTTGTCCAAAGCTACTCTCAATGATTGATCTGGAGTGGATTGAGAAAATTGGAATTTCTTATCCGAAGGAATTGGGGATGAAGTCTGACCGTCCCATCCGGATTGTAGATGATGGTCAAGAATGATCGGGTTTGCCGCTAAACCAGCCGGTTTGTCTTGATAATCTATAATGTTTATGCATGGTCTCTTATGCAAAACTGAGGAGGTCCTACAATTCGCCCCGATCGACGATGTTTGAACTTGTTACCGGTGATGTTATTGTTGTTTAAAGATCCTTGGCCAGACGGGTTTTCGTCCGAAGACTCGGTTATCTCGAAGATCGGGAAGTCTACCGTCGCATCGTTTTGTGATATCTGCTAATCCTGCGGATAGGCAGGTTGCGTGGCTTCTATAATTGTTGAAAACTGTGTGATTGGTGGAGTTTGAATCCGGCTCCGTCCTGCGGGCATGATGCTGAATGCGCAATCAAGCGGATCTGACAATGAAGCTTATCAAGCGTTTTGCAAAAGCGGTGAATAGTCAAGCGGTGACCAAAAGCTCACTGAATTAGTTTTTCTCATCTCCCATGAATTTTCCAGTTCCGCGTTAGGCAATTCATCCTCTGACTTTGATTGAGTTTGTCCAAAGCTACTCTCAAGGACTGATTTTTCGAGAGAGGGATAGTAGGTCCGCTGAAGAAGAGTCTGATGAGCTCGCTACTTGGTCGTTGGAGTGGATTGAGAAAATTGGATTTTTCTTATCCGAGCCGAGGGAATTGAGGATGAAGTCTGACCGTCCCATCCGAATTGTAGATGATGGTCAAGAATGATCGGGTTTGTCGCTAATCTAGCCTGTTTGTCTTGATAATCTATAAGGTTTATGCATGGTGTCTTCCTTCTGCAAAACTGGGGAGGTCCTAAAATTCACCCCGATCGTCGATGTTTGAACTTGTTACCGGTGATTTTATTGTTGTTTAAAGATCCTTGGCCAGACGGGTTTTCGTCCGAAGATTCGGTTATCTCGAAGATCGGGAAGTCTACCGTCGCATCGTTTTGGGAGATCTGGTAATCTGGCGGATAGTCAGGTTGTGTGGCTTCTATAATGGTTGGAGACTGTGTGATTGGTGGAATTTGGATGCGGCTCCAACCTGCGGGGATGATGCTGATTGAAAAATCAAGCGGATCCGACCATGAAGCTTAGCCGTCTAAAATCTCTGTTTTTTGTGTTATCCCGAGCTTTATGAGAGTCTCAGGTGGGAAAATTAGGTTTCGGTTATCTAATACTATCAGAAATATAACATTCCGTAATCAAATCTCTACAAGGGAAACCTCCAGCAATCCATTCCCAGCCACTAATACATTAGGTGTCCAAAGGAAGTAGCATTGGTTTGTCGCAAGCTAATTAAACTGTGTTTTTGAACTCTATTTTGTCCGCTAAGATTTGTTTCTACCCGGTTTGGCTGAGGATTTTGAGACTCTGGTTCTTTTGTCGTTATCGGAAGTAGCTTGCTCAGTTTGAAGCCTTATCTTGTGGCCTAGTAACTGTCTGTTTTGCTTTCATAGTCCGCTTTGAGCCTACTTCAAAATCAGAGTTAGGAAGAACCGGACAGGAAACATTTCCTCTAAACGAACGAATATTAGACGAGTTTGATTTCCGTAGGACGAAATCGGACTTTCTGATAATTCTTCCGTCGAAAAAATTATCGTGGTTTTTGAAGCATTTATAATTTTCTGGTTCTGTTTTCACAAAAAGGATTTCCGTTTATGCTCTCCATAATATTCCAAAGTATACTAGCTTTGAAAAAACTTTGTAATGGCATTCGAGATAATGAAGATTTGGATGGTGAAGGGTAGTTATAGCCTCCGAAACTAGTTTTTTTTCAGGATTATTATGTCCTTTAATCTGTCTTTGATCCGGTCGTCGGACACTAAGTCAAGTGCCCTTCCTTTGCTTAGGAATGATTTTCCTTTGTCTAAAACTCCATCTGATAACTTATCAGAGGCTAATTGTTTACAGATTTTGTAGGATTTTCTTTTGAATTGTATCTAAAAGGTGAAAAATTAATTTTGATTGGAAGGAGGAACGTAGGTTCCAGATAATTTTTGACACCGCGTGTTGTGAAGTACGTTTTTACGTTTTTGATGTTTCTTGAGCCATTGCTAATAATTTGTTTTTTAAAGTATGTACAAGTTTTTTCGCTAAACCGTTAGAGCGATGATCGCTGCTTAAAAAGACTTAATTTAATATGATTGGAAAATCAATAAAACTTAATGTATTGGCTAGTAAAAAAAGACGCGTGGTCGACAAGAATAAAAAAGCGAATTGAGTTTAAATGAGAGGAACCCTGAAAGAATTCAATCACCGTATTTGATGAAGTGGAAGATCCTCAACTAGAATCCAAAGAACCGGGGAATTGAGTATTTAATTCCTCATTAGGTTCCGATAAAGGTGGTTAATTCGCAGGTTTGGGTACAAGAAATATTACTTTTTATTTTCTTACCAGTTTTTGTGCATTGAGAACAGTTTATACCGTAAAAATAAGTTTGACGGTTTATATGAGGCCACGATTTATACTGAGCAAGGTAATTTGTGCCGAATTGTCCTGGATGGGCCTCATGAAATGTCTTTATAACTACGTTTCTTGAGGTAAAAGCGATAACCAAATTTCCATCCATGTAACGTAACCCATCGATTTCGTGAATATCTCGAATAAACTGGTTTAAGTAACGGAAATTTTCATTAACCTTGTCTACTCTAACTCGAAACGCTTTGACGAAAAGACTTAGCATTGGGTCTTCCTCTCTTATTAGGGCTACCAATGTAGTGTTGAATAAGGTGTTTAAGTCTGAAGGCATTCAGGCAACCTCTGACTATTTCGGTAATTAATCAGAACTTTTTGATAAGACAGGGAATTCGACTGAAACTTGAATACCGGGAGGGATTGATTACGGTTTGATTATTGGACATATTTACGCTATTTACAATTTTAGCATCCCGAGGAGTAATAATCAGGCTACAATTATGATCTAAAAGTTTTAAAAAGCAGAATTTCATAAGGAAAGAATATTTGAAAAATCTGAAAAAGTAAATTTGGAATTGCAAAAATCAGTTCTGTTGTTTTTTAAGTTACAAATTGGAAGAGTCGAGTTAATAAACTTTAGAACAGAAGAAAAAAAGTATTTACATTATCTTTCGTAATAAGACTTTTCCAAATTAGTGCCACTATTATTGCAGTTCATATTTCTATTATCTGTTGGATTTTTTGCTTTGATGAGTTTAGTGATTGTAGCGACCACAAATTCTTTGTTGTAACGGGATAGGGTGTTGCTTTTTCTGATGGGATTCTTGAAATTAGATCCGTGAAGCCCATATCTTTAGCTGCCAGTAGTTTGATTGTAAAGTTAAAGTGTACGTTTAATTGTTAAAATGTACGACCCATCTAGTTAGACGACTATGATATGTTTTATTTCCTTGTTGAGGTGAAAGTGCTGAAAAAGGGGCTTTATGATGAAGAAAAATTTGAAATTCCGAGCTGTAAAGATAAGTCTTATAAAGCTCGACTGCCCAAACAACTCCCAAAAGTTATAAAGTGGAATATTTAGTTTCATGCGGATTCAAAAACCTTGATGCGACTTTTAGTCGATCTAGTTCCCTTTTTGCCGCATCGAGTAAAGGAAGGGGAACACGTCTACCTTTCAGTTGAATTGGGTTTAGTGGTTCATGAAAGTGATTTTTTTGTTTTTTTTATTTCTTCAATCGGAATAAATAATTGTATGAAAAAATCGGTTAAAGTATCTATCTCTTTCAATTTTTCGGGTGGGAAAATTAAATTATTAGACTTTTGATCCTCTTGGTCTGGTAGTGAAGAAAGTGTTTCTAAAAGACTTCTAATTCCACTTTTGGCAGATTATCGTTTCCTAGAATGTTTATCGCGTGGGCTTCTGCGAAGAAAAAGTGACATTCGATGTGAGACCATCCATTTGAAAAGATAGGGATTATTATTTGGCCAGCGACATTTATTGCGTTATCTGTAAATCCATGATATAAATCTTTCGTCGGTTGATCCACCAGATAAATTTTCAGGTACCTATCGCGTAGTTTTAATTCATGAAGTTTATTGCTTTTGAGGCAGCTCACATCGCTGGCCTGTATATTAAGGATCACTTGGTTTTTTTAAATAATTTCTCTTTGTTATAGTAAATAGTGGTTACATTTAATACAGAGTAATAGAGTAATCATCGTTGTCGCTGTGCCTGGATTCTGATTCTGACCTTGCGCTGATTACACTACAACATTCTTTGTTTACGCGGTCATTATTTATATCCGTTGGTTCTGATGAATAACTAAAATCTGTATTATGAGCAGTTTGAATTTCTACCATATTTACTTTTTTACGGCGAGATTTACAAGGTCTGGAGGATACAAATGTCCTCTGTTTTTATAGGATGTACAATGTACAAGTTGTGTCTTTTGCTGGACAAACCGCCAGGTGACCTTTGGAAAATATGCTGTCGCAATTTCATACAGGCGTTAATCCGCTCGATATTTAAGACTTGGTTCCCTTTTTTTAATTAAAATGATAAAAATGTTTATTTACAGATGGTCCCTTGAATTCAAAATTGTTCATCAATTTCATCCGGTTCGTTATTCCTTTTTCATAGATTAGTGCCACATTTAATGCTTCTAGGGGGTGAGAGGGTTTTTGAGAGATGTTTTCGTTGGATGTCTGAGTTCTTCATATTGTTAATAAAATGTCTCTTATCCATTCATCTTCTCCTGCAAGAGCTCCCCAAAATTGTTCCAGCGATTATCTATCTCTCTGTTTTTTGTTTAGGAGCGTACGTCTCCAAACGTAACTTTCGATTTCCTCACAAACGCTATGGACAAGTTGTCTCAGAACTCTTTGAAGGAGGTTGCGAGAATTATCACTCAATATTATTCAAGCTCGATTGAAGTTTCTTATCCGTTTCTTCGATTCTCATGCCGTTGAATCGGTTCGTTTTGGTCTTTATTGATGCCCTTTCCTCATTATCGTATCTCTTTTGCACCCAGAATTTTCTGTCTAAGCGAGCTGTTTTCTGTGCTTCTGTTTCGCTATTTGGCTGACTTTATAGAAAAGGTGGTTGTGGATGATGCCTTTCTATAGAATTCGGAAATTTTTTTATATCAATATTCTCCTTCGCTATCACTGCAATTTGAAAAAGATCATCCCACTCCTCCCAAGGAATTAGTTGGTCCACCATTTGATTTTGCCAAAACGAAGGTATATCTCTCAGATTGGAATCGTTACTGTTTGATTGCGCCATCAAAAAATGCTTCTTTGTTGCAGATAATTCTACTTATGTACAGATACAATGCTAGTTAAAAAGTGATTTAATCTCAAAGATAAAACATTAAAAAGTGAGCCTGATTTCTCTCCACCGGAGAGAATGAATACATTAAGGTCATAACAAATTGCAATTAAAATAAAATAATAAAATACTGCAACTCACAACACAGTTTGACAAAAAAACTTTCTTCATTTGGCGTTCACCATCCGGTGCGCTCACATTCGGCACGAGAGGAGTATTCCGTTGAAATTAAAGTTCGCTTGTCAATTGAAATTAAAGTTAATTGTCGCTTGTTACGTATTGTCGCTTTTTACGAACTGTCACCTGATACGATTTGTCGCTTCTTGGTAAACATGATCATAGATCATGCATTGAGGAGAGCTTTGTCTATGCTTATAGATTGCCAGGAAGAATGTCTGACTCAAAACCACCACTTAAAATGTTATTATTTACCAAAAGAGCGTTCTAATCAGCTTCCAATTTGCAACTTCGCGGAAAGTTTTTTCAATATTGGAGGTGTGCTCATTTGTTATTATGCCTGTTGTTCACTTGCTTTGTTGTGGTTAGATGAAGCTGAATGCCTGTTCCATTGGGTTCCAGAAGTGGTTCCTCGTCAACATTGTGGCCATCTTCTTCTCCGTGATCGAGTTCCTCTTCTCCCTGTTGGGGGATGTGGGAAGAGAGCAGGATGTGAGCAGTCTATTCCTGGTCTCTTCCCCGCTTTTCTGGGTGCCCTTTCTCATCCGCTCAGTCATGATGGTAAACCTGAAGGCCACTATGATAGTGCCGGTGAGTTTCCTTCTTTAAATGTTCAATATTTTGTCAAATAGGAGAAAGCAAATGTGGAAACAAATATCTTACTGAAGTAGAGTTTCACCATTGCAACCTGATTGGAACTCTTCTGAGCTGCTGGCTTTTTTTATTAGTTTAGTTAGAGGGGGAGAGGGGTTGGAGGAATTTCTGCGCTGCTTTGAGCATGACATTTTGAGCACTTTAAAAATAATTTGACCAAAAAATTGCATTTTTTCGGCGCGCGTTCTCCCCTCAAATTTAGTTATATTGAAAAATTAGAAAATACTTGATGTTGGTCGGCCAAATATGGATCTTGCAAAATTATATCAAATGGGGACCCTTTGAAAAAATTAGCAATCAGAATCCCCCCCGTCAGGCACGCTACTGATTAGACAGATTGAATTGAAATTTATATCATCCTAACTTCATTTTACCAGTATTTTGATCAGTTCCGCCCCATTGTCAATGCACATAATAAAAACCAATTGAACGCAATTTTGGGACGGGAATGACTGGGTTTTTGGTGTTGAAGTGTCCGAACAGAAATGTCTGGGTTTTTGTAGCGGGAGTGTCTGGGGCGTAACTGACTAGTAACGAAAGACGTAATTGACTAGCTCTAATACGTTTTAAAGATCAAATTGTTGGATGATTCTATTCGAATCTTGTTACGTTGATTTTACAAATTTTATACAATTTTTTTTCCAAATCCTGCTCTTAAAAAAATTAAGGAGCTTGCAACACTTGCGCGATACACAAGTTGTTAAGCTTAGCACATTTTCATCTTTGCTGGATTAGTTAAAGTAGTTTCAACATCAATTGAACAAAATATCATCCGACGAAAAATAAAAAAAAAACAGTAGTTTACTTCAAAGTAAGCCCAACGCACTACAGCGAACCTACAAAAATCAATCAGTAGCACCCAAAACTTTTAAAGTACTAGCCAATTTTGGTCAACTTCAAAAACATTTTTTTCGTTCAACACTCATTTTTTCACAATATATATAAGAGAAAAGTAGTGTTGTGATTTACGTTTTGTCTCTCTTAATTTGAGCTCTAGTTCCTAATTAGACGCCCGCTAGTTTAGGTCTATTCAAAACCCATTTGACTTCGCGGCACTTTTCTAATTCTATTGAGACAAGACAGTTTTTATTCAATCCTTTGGTTGAATTAGTCTTTAGTAAACCAATGGTATATGAACACTTCTTATTATGGCGCAGTGTAATATTCGCCCAAAAACTACACAGTGATGGAGCGTAGAAAAAGTACCTATAGACGACTGGCCGGCGTCATTTACCTAAATTCTAATTGTTTTTCACCGTCTCGACCTAGCCAGTTAGTTTTCTGGTCTGTTTCGGGCTAAGTAAAAAGTTACTAATTTCAGGCCATCAGTCAAACGACTTTTGATCAGCTTCCGTTAAATGCGAAGAAAAACACATAGCTGGGTCTCGGATCCCCAGACTACATGATTGCTAATTAAGACATGGCCCGAAAATCCTATTTTATTATGTTTTTGCTTACGACATCAGAGTAGCTAAAAACTCAGGTTGTCACAGTCCTTCACCATATGATGTCTCTTGGGGCCGAGCCTCCGATTACGTGCTTTTTCTGTAAGAATGTCCTTGATACTCCCAATTCGTGGCACGGGAGGGTACTGCTCCTTCCTTCTTCCCCACTGAAGCCTCCTTTCAGTCTCCTGCGCAATCGTCACGATAAGAGGCTTCGTTTTTTATATCGTTCTCGTCCGACTGTCTCTCATTAATTCGGTTGTTGTTGTGTTTTTTGTCACTTTTTAGACAAAAATGGCCATTTCCCGCATTTCTCAGAAATAGACTGTCTGCAATCGAATTTTCGAAAACTGAAAATTCCAGAATATTTAGCCTCTTTTTCAACAATACATGATCACTAATGCCTCTATTGTCTTTTTCGTGCTGCGACGGAAGGTTCTGCTGTGTCAATCCGGAATAATGGCACAAACTCCCCGGACAGTCCCTTCAATGTCCACATTGATCGCATAACGCCGGGTTATCGCCAAGTAGTGTTCCAGTTCTCTATATTTACCTTTACAAACCGCATTAGAAAATTTGAAGCTTATCTACTCCACCTCAACTCACCGCGTTTCATAAATGGCATCGTACTACATTTCACTGCCTTTCAACATTTTCACAAAATTCGCACTATGAGGAGTGTTCTAGATAAAATTTCTTTTCTGGCTATTTACGTCATCTCGCCATAAAATTTCTTTTCGCTCTTGCTGATTAAAAAGTTGGGATTTGGCACGGCCACGCACCCGTTAAAATTAACCTTTTGTCACTCACCAAGTATAATCAGTTGTTTATGCTGTCGTCCTCAATATAAAAACTAATAAATTCTGTGGCTAGTAAAGGTAATGAGGTACTCACCCTATTATAACGAGCGTACCCAAACCCTACCCGGTCGCTTCACAGTGAACACGTGTCTTACACAAGTTAAAAATTTCAGTCGAGTTTATATAGGTAAATATACTCACCTATGCTCTTTATTTATATGTAAAAAGCATCAACAAAAATTTTCATTGTCATTCAACAATTGCAACAGTTCAACAACTCTCAACTGCTTCTAACAATATCCAGGTCTGCTTTTAATTCAGCCTAAAGCACAAAAACAATTAAGTTTCTCTCCCTCTCTCTTCATTTCATTCTCGTGTCACATCTTCATCTTCAGTCAATTGCATCTTGTTCTTATTCTTGTTCTTCTGTCTCACTTTCTTCTAGGTTTTTCTCCAGCATGTCCACGGAGTTGCGGGCCGTGGCCCAACTCTCCTGCTCTAACAGCCTCGGTTTGCAACAAGGCGCTTAAGTTTCTCTCCTTCTCTCCTCATTTCATTCTCGTGTCACATCTTCATCTTCAGTCCATTGCCTCTTGTTCTTGTTCTTCTGCCTCACTGTCTTCTGGGACTTTCTCCAGCATGTCCACGGAGTTGCGGGCCGTGCCCCAACTCTCCTGCTCTAACAGCCTCGGTTTGTAACAAGGTAGCAGGTCCACATTCACCCTTTGCTCCGGGTTCCTGCAAAAGCTGTTGTGCAGACACAAGCTCACATTCCGTTCTAGGTCAGCTTGTAAGACCTCTCTCTTTTCGGCTTCAGTAGCACAAGACGCTCCAGCTACTCGCTTCACCGCCGTGGTAACATCGTTTCTGTGCGTTAGGAATGCTCTCTTATAGGCTCCGGTCCTATATCTAGCTGGAAGGATTGATAGGCTTCCGTGTTCCTGGACATATGACGCTTCGCGCGTTCATACATCCATGACGTCATCACTGCACGGAACCAAGGCATCAACCTTTGCTTTGACCATATCCTCTCAATGGCTTTGGGTATCCTCAGAACCTTTGGGTATCCTCAGAACTTCACGTTACTTAGTTGCTCGGGTGTCGGCACAGCCGTCTCCTGCTCACTCGTGCCCGCGTTAGCTTCTAACCATCTCACCGCCAACATGGCACTAACCACTACAATTGACACTGGTTGATTTTGGTCGGGCAACCCCGTGGAGTAAAATTCCTCCATGTCTCACACTAATACCAGATTCCCGCGTTTGGGGTACCATAACGTCTGCGCCAGGCAGTGACAAGGATACTCCCCATGGGCCATCAAGATGTTTCTTCGGGTCCGTTACCCTGAGGCTCCCAGCAACGGTTCTACTTCTGTCAGGATCCTATGTACGTCGTCTTTCTCATCAATGGTGGGGACTTCTGCGGGTAACACCACACTCGCCTTCTTTCTCTGGAATTCACTCACGTTACCTTCACTCAACCTCATGAAATCTTCACCCACTATATCGTGCAACTCGCCTTCAGATCTCATCGGGACGGCCCGAATGATCTTCGTCAGTAAATCATACGACCTTTCTGACATCTTGGCCAATCTCACGCACTTTGGCACAGAGAAGAGTTGGTCGACCAACACCTCTGCTGCGTCCTCTGGTCCATTGCCACCATTTGTGTGGGGTGCCTACCATTGCAACATGTTGCGGAGCTGAAACCCACAGATATTTCGAACAGGTAGGTCTATGATAGGCCTCACTGTCTTTCAAATTCATCTCGTTCTCTAGAGCTTCTCGCCAACGTCCAATCTTCTACTCAGTCTGCAATTCTCCAGGGAACACTTCCACACTCAAGGACGTAACCAGCTTATCATACTGTAAAATCTCAAGGCATTGATCAAGTTCTTTTCCGTTACTCCGTGGCAGTCCGCAATCAACTCCATTTCAATTTTGTCCTACATGCCTAACTTCCCATACAATTGAGCTAGTTGGCGATGTTGCTCACTCAGCGTGTTCAGGCAATGCCCCGAACCGCACATGTGTCCATCCATTCCACTACTGTAGGCTAGATAGGTGCCCTGTCTCAACCAATCACTTGAAAGATTTCCCTCAGACGGTCCCGTGGATAGCCCGCTCTTCTGCTTCGTTATTCCCAGAGCTAGAGATGGTGTATCATAGCCAAATCGTGTAGACTCGCGTCATCATCCAAATCCAATGCGACATCTGCCGTCATATCACAGATTAAACCGGCGTTTGGATGTGGACACCCGGAAGGCTTCATGAGCTCCCACATAATTACTAAGCTGGTCTTCAAGGGACCGTCCCAAGAACCACATTCAAAGCTCACTTGCCCCTTTAGCTCGGGAATCGAGGGCTCAACCACTCGTTCCTCCAAAATGATTCCCAGCTTGGGTTGATCCACCATTAACATGCCAGCTTTCTTGACTCGCTCGACCCAGAAATCAAGTACCATAACCTGCTCGTAGTCAAAATTTGCTTCCCTGGCTTCCTTGTCCACGAAGGGATTATACGCCATCCCTGGTATGCCTGACACATATTGGCATGACTTCAACTTCCCCAATGTTGCATAGTCTTTCTGTTCCCTGATTGCTTCAATTGACTCCCGGCTTACTTTTAACTCCTTGTTGGAATGTTTTCTCACTTCTTCTAACCTGCGATAGCTTTCTATGTCGTCAGATTTT